TACAACTACACCAAAACCCATAAGATGCTTAGGAATAAACCTAACCAAAGAGGTTAAAAAATCCATACTCTAGAAACTATAGAACGCTTGTGAAAGAAATTGAGGAAGACACAAAGAAGTGGAAAAACACTCCATGCTCATGGATTGGAAGAACAAACATCATTAAAATGTCTCTACTACCCAAAGCAATATACACATTCAATGCAATCCCTATCAAAATACTGTCAGCATTTTTCAGAGCTGGAACAAGCAATCCTTGAATCTGTATGGAACCAGAAAGACCCTGAATAGCCAGAGGAATGTTCAAAAAGAAAACCAAAGCCGGAGGCATCATAATTCCGGAGTTCAAGCTCTATTACAAATCTGTAATCATCAAGATCTCACGGTACTGGCACAAAGCAGACACACAGATCAATGGAACAGAACAGAGAACCCAGGAATGGACCCTGAACTCTTTGGTCAACTGATCTTCGACAAAGCAGGGAAGAATGTCCGATGGAAAAAAAAGACAGTCTTTTCAACAAATGGTGCTGGGAAAATTGGACAGCCACACACAGAAGAATGAAACTGGACCATTTCCCTACACCACACACAAAAATCGACTCAAAATGGATGAAAGACCTAAATGTGAGGAATCTACAAAACCCCCGAGAACACAGGCAGTAACCTCTTCGACCTCAGCAACAGCAACTTCTTGCTCGACATGTCTCCAAAGGCAAGAGAAACAAAAGCAAAAATGACTACTGGGACTTCATCAAGATAAAAAGATTCTGCACAGCAAAGGAAACAGTCGACAAAACTAAAAGGCAACCTACAGGATGGGAGAAGATATTTACAAATGCCTTATCAGATAAAGGGCTAGTACCCAAAATCTATAAAGAACTTATCAAACTCAACACCCAAAGAATAAAGAACCCCATCAAGAAATGGGCAGGGGCGCCTGGGTGGCTCAGTGGGTTAAAGCCTCTGCCTTTGGCTCAGGTCATGATCCCGGGTTCCTGGGATAGAGCCCCACATCGAGCTCTCTGCTCTGCGGGGAGGGAGCCTGCTTCCCCCTCTCTCTCTGCCTGCCTCTCTGTCTACTTGTGATCTCTGTCAAATAAATAAATAAAATCCTTAAAAAAAAATGGGTAGAAGACATCCAAATGACCAACAGACACATGAAAAAATGCTCAACATCATTTGGCATCAGGGAAATACAAATCAAACCCACAACGAGCTATCACCTCACACCAGTCAGAATGGCTAAAATTAACAAGCCAAGAAACGACAGATGTTGGAGAGGATGTAGAGAAAGGGGAACCCTCCTACACTGTTGGTGGGAATGCAAGCTGGTGCAGCCACTCTGGAAAACAGCATGGAGGTTCCTCACAAAGTTAAAAATAGAGCTACCTTACAATTCAGCAATCGCACTACTGGGTATTTAACCCAAAGATACAAATGTAGTGATCCGAAGGGGCACCTGCACCCCAATGTTTATATTTATAGCAGCAATGTTCGTAATAGCCACAATATGAAAAGAGCCCAGATGTCCATTGACAGATGAATGGAGAAAGAAAATGTGGCATACACATACAACAGAGTATGACTTCAACCATCAAGAAGAATGAAATCTTGCCATTTCAAGTGACATGGATGAAACTAGAGGGTATTATGCTAATTAAAATAAGTCAATCAGAAAAAGACAAATACTGTATGATTTCACTCTTATGTGTAATTTAAGGAACAAAACAGATGAACATAGGGGAAGGGAAGGAAAAATAAAATAGGACTAAAACAGAGAGGGAGACAAATCACAAGAGACTCTTAACTGTAGAATAAACTGAGGGTTGCCGGCAGGGGAAATGGAGTAGAACAGGGTAACTGGGTGAGGGGCATTAAGGAGGACACTTGATGTAATGAGCACTGGGTGTTGTATGTAAGTGATGAATCACTAAATCTACCTCTGAAACTAACAATACACTGTATGTTAATTAAATTGAATTTAAATTAAAAAAAGATAGGGAAACATCTTTTCCTAATATAGGAAACCTAAGATAGGGAAACATCTCATCCCTAATGAGATGTTCAAAAGGGAACATCTCATTCTCCCACTCCCCCTGCTTGTGTTCCCTCTCTGTCTCTTTCTGTCAAATAAATAAATAAAATCTTAAAAAAAAAGAACATTAAGAAAAAAAGAACATTAAAAGTGGGAGAATAAAAGCAAAGCAATAGGCCTAGACCAGAGCTTGGCACATAGTTCATGCTCACTAAGGGTGAGCTGAATGGAGGGAGTGCAGTATTAACTTTCCTAAGATACTTCAGCAACAATGAAAAAGCTTCTCCTCCATTGTGGTTTAAAATCTCAATAGCATATAAATTGGTATGCTGTGTTTTTCTATTAAGACATTAACTATTCAATATACCAAACAAATCCCTCTTTTCTAACTGAAGGTTTGGTTTGAGAATCGGAAGGCCAAGTGTTAGAAACATCGGAAAGTCTTAATTCTCCGAAATATGTCTCCCATCGCCGTGGGTCATGCTGTCATCATAATCTCAGATGGACCCTATAATGCCATTTGTGTCCTGGAGCCCAGATGGAGATGGGTTATTCTGGTGTCCCTGTGGCCCAGAACACCCAGGGCTAATCTACTGGGTGAGATAATGGTATGGTAGTTAAGCAGGAAAATGTCTTTTTTTTTTTAAAAGACCTGCATATAGAGATATTTAGCATCAAAGTATATTTATAATTTACCTTGGATACCTTAGCAAAAAACTCGTATTTGAAACAACTATGTCAAAATGCTAACAAATGTCTAACCTGAGTGGTAAGTATATGGTATTACTTATACTATCCCCTTTGCTTTCCTGAGTATTTTCATGATGCAAAGAAAAATACCCTGGGGCGCCTGGGTGGCTCAGTGGGTTAAAGCCTCTGCCTTCAGCTCAGGTCATGATCTCAGGGGGATCGAGCCCCGCATCGGGCTCTCTGCTCAGCGGGGAGCCTGCTTCCCCCTCTCTCTCTCTGCCTGCCTCTCTGCCTACTTGTGATCGCTATCAAATAAATAAATAAAATCTTTAAAAAAAGAAAAGAAAAATACCCTATGAGTTTGGGGTCGGGGACATTCAGTCTAATAGAGGAGACAGAGGTAAAGAAATAATCAGATTGCGGAGTGATACAGGGAAGCATGGGGGTGCTCTGGGCGTACAGAGAAGTCTCATAATCAGGCTAGCTTGCTTGGGAAGGGTGCTTCAGGAATGATGACTCTTAAGCTAGTTCTTTTAGAAATCAATTTTCCTGGGGCACCTAGGTGAATCAGTCAGTTGGTTAAGTGTCTGCCTTCAGCTCAGGTCATGATCCTGGCATCCTGGGACTGAGCCCTGCATCCGGCTGCCTGCTTAGTTGGGAGCCTGCTTCTCTCTCTGCCTCTGCCTGCTGCTCCCCCTGCTCATGCTCACTCACTCTCTCTGTCAAATAAATAAATACAATCTTTAAAAAAAATAAAAATCAGTTCTTTTGGTGCACCTGGGTGGCTCAGTTGGTTAAGTGTTGGCCTCTGGCTCAGGTCCTGATCCCAGAGTCCTGGAATTGAGCTCCATGTTGGGCCCCCTGCTCAGCGAGGAGGCTGCTTCTCCCTCTGCCTGCTGCTCTCCCTGTTTGCATGCTCTCTCGGTCAAATAAATAAGTAAAATCTTTTTACAAAGTAAAAATAAAACAAAATCAGTTTTATTACAAAAGTACTGCACGCCCACTGTTGAGGAGAGTAAGCCAGGCCGCCCGCAGGGAGAGACTGGCACTGCAGGCCGATGGACTCTGTATCAAGTCACAGAAGCAAGAGAAAGAACATGGAAGACCGAGGAGACCGTCGTTCTCAGGCTAAGAGGATGCTGCAAGAGGCACAGGGCATGTGTGATCAGAGAGGGATCAAGCAGGGTCCCAAATTCACCCTGAAGACGACAGAGAGCTGCTGAAGGATTTTTAAGTAGGGACAGATGTGCTCACATCTGCGCTCTCAGAAAGTTCATCAGGGCACCTGGGTGGCCCAGTCGGCTGAGCGGCTGCCTCCTCATTTCAGCTCAGGTCACGATTTCATGGGCTGCGGGATCCAGCCCTGGGTCAGGCTCCATGGTCAGTGGGGAGGTCAGCTCCAGATTCTCTCCGTCGGGCCCTCCCTCCCACCTGCACACCGGCACACTTTCTAAAATAAATAAATCTTTTTTAAAAATAAAAGGTAGTTCACTCTCCCAGCAGTGAGGAAGAAAAGTAACAACAGGAGCCAGGAAACCCCAGTGACATCAGGGGAAGAGACACCTTTATGCAATGTCCCCAGAGGCGGGGGGGTCAATCATCCTGTCAACCATCAGCCAGGAGAAGGCACAAAAAGGGGGCTTTCTGGGAGGCACCACGCCACGGGGGGGTGGGGGTGTCCTCCATAAATCAGCTGCCAGCCGGCAGGGGGTCCTCTGAGGTGTGCCTTTTGGAAAATGGCACAGAGGTGCCCGCTGAGTGTGAGGACGACACAAGAGAGCTGCTCCCCGGGCCTGACGCAGCCCCATGGGGCTGGCTTTGCTGCCACACGTCTCCCGGCCCGACCCCGCCTCGGTTCGGTTTGCTGCCACGACGTGCCTCGTACCGCTGGACACCACCCATCTGGGGTCACAGCGCTCGGGTCTGGCTCTCAGCTGTGTGAGCCCGAGTGCGGTGTCGCAACCTGCTCTGCGCCCACTTCCCCATCTCTAAGACGCAGTCTGGAGCCCTGTGTGGACTGAGCAGCACTGAGAACAGCCAGCGCTTAGCGGGGCTCCTGGCACCGAGACAGCCAGTGCTCTACACCTCTCGGCCACTGTCCTTAGCCGTCCTCTGCAATCAGTTCTACGGAGGAAAGCGAGTTTTGAAGCCAGGCCTGCAGAGCGATGCCGCCTTCTTACCACTGGAGTCTGAGTCCGAGTCAGAGCCACTGCCGCTGTCATCAGAGTACTTCTCGCGTTTTCTTTTAGAGGATTTCTTCTTTCTCCTTTTCTTGGACCTCTCTTTCGAATGATTACGCTTCTTCTTCTTCTTCTTTTCTTCTACATGAAGTACAGATATAAAATTAACTTCTAGGCAAGTATTACGATTATCAATTTTACTGTATCTGAAATACCGAAAAAGAACAGATGACGGGCAACCTGATTTGCAGAAGCAAAGTCTACTGTTTGACTATTTATCAACCTTTTTTTCAACTTCTCAATACAGCAGCTCTGTAGTAGTTAAAAAAATACCTTCTGAAGTAGAAGCTGAACTGGTGCTTTTCTTTGGCTCATCGTCCTCCACTGGTGTGTGCTCATCAGAGCTGAATTTAAAGAAGACGGTTGTAAGAATCAGAAAACTGATAAACCGTGAATCATGGAGTATAAAAATACAGAATCAAAAAATTTCAGTAATGACACCGGTTGTCCAAGAACCATCAAAAGCAAACACTGGAATGACTTTGTAAAGGTACAGTTCAAGAGTCTACCACCTTCAAAATAACATAATAATCATTTACATTTGCATGCTTTAGCGTTCACAAAACACTATTCAAACTGAAAGCAACATGTAAGATTTATATTTTCTTTTAAGACTTAGTTTACTGGGGCACCTGGGTAGCTTAGTGGGTTAAAGCTTCCACCTTCAGCTCAGGTCATAATCTCAGGGTCCTGTAATCAAGTCCTGTGTCAGGCTCTCTGCTCAGCAGGGAGCCTGTCTCCCCTCCCACCCCGTGCCTGCCTCTCTGCCTACTTTTGATCTCTGTCAAATAAATAAGTAAATCTTTTTAAAAAAGACTTAGCTTATTATTTGAGACACAGAGAGAAGGGGGGAAGGGGCAGAGGGAGAGAGAGAATCCCAAGCAGATTCTCTGCCTAATGCAGAGCCCAATGCAGGGCTCGATCCTACAACCCCGAGATCATGACCTGAGTCAAAATGAAGAGTCAGACACTTAACCAACTGAGCTACCCAGGTGCCCTGTAAGATTGATATTTTCAATGCTGCCTACAAGATACTTCAGACCTAATGGCATGCACACTGAAAGTGAAGGGATGGAAAAACATTTACTGTGGAAATGGAGGTGGAAAGAAAGCTGGGGTAACAATACTTATATCAGACAAAATAGACTTTATTTTAAAAAAATTTTAGGGGCGCCTGGGTGGTTCAGTGGGTTAAAGCCTCTGCCTTCGGCTCAGGTCATGACCCAGGGTCCTGGGATCGAGCCCCGTCAGGCTCTCTGCTCAGCAGGTAGCCTGCTTCCCTGTCTCTCTCTGCCTGCCTCTCTGCCTACTTGTGATCTCTCTCTGTCAAATAAATAAATAAAATCTTTTAAAAAATTTTTTTAAATTTTGAGTAATCTATATGCCCAACATAGGGCTTGAACTCATCACCCCAAGATCAAGAGTTGTACACCCTACCGACTGAGCCAGCAAGGGCCCTAGACAAAATAGACTTTAAAACAACAACTAATAGGGGTGCCTATTTTCCATTTTTTTGGTTTTAAAAATTATTTTTATTGTCACATTCCAAAGAGGACACAAGAGCAAAAAGCCAGTTATCTGATAACTGCTCTACCTTTCAGAAGGAGGCACCCAGAAAGGAACTCCAGTCTTAGTTCAAAGCTGTACACAACAGAGCTCAAACAGCCGCCTCTCCACCTACTGGAAATGTTGACAAATGTGTGTATGTCACCAATCCAGAGACAGCTGGGGTTAAAAGAAAATTCCTTTATTGCAAGTGTCCAAGTTCTTAGGATTCATCCTTAAAGATTCTGGAAGAAAATGAGAAAGACCACACACACCAGACCGTATTTAGTCATCAGAGTAAACTAGCGAATTGCTAGTTTATTCAGGATGCATTGCATCAGACACCACAGTACACAAGGAAAATCTGCATTTTATGAATAAATGAATTCAATAAGAACTCACACAACAGGAATCTGGTGCATTTACACAGTAATAACGAAGTGGCAGAACGAGAAATTAAGAAAACAATTCCATTTACAATTGCACTAAAAATAATAAAAATACCTAGGAATAAACTTAAGTAAGGAGGTGAAAGACCTGAACTCTGAAATCTATAAAACATTGATGAAGAAACTGAATATGACACAAACAAATGGAAAGGCAGCCCATGCTCATGGATTGGAAGAACAAATACTGTTAAAAAGAGCATTCTACCCAAAGCAATCTACAGATTTAACGCAACCTCTAGCAAAATACCAACAGCATTTCTCACAGAACTGGAACAGATAATCCTAAAATTTGTAGGGAACCACAAAAGAATTCCAACCAGCCAAAGCAATCTTGAAAAAGAACAAAGCTGGAGGTATCACAGTCCCAGATTTCAAGATCTACTACAAAACTATAGTAACCAAAATAGTATGGTAGTGGCACTAAAACAGACACATGGATCAGGAGAACAGAGTAGAGAGTCCAGACATAAACCCACACTTTTATGGTCAATTAATCTATGACAAAGTAGGCAAGAATATACAATGGAGAAATGACAGTCACCTCAACAAATGCTGCTGGGAAAACTGGTTGGCTACATGCAAAACAATGAAACTGGACCACGTTCTTACATCATCCACAAAAATAAACTCAAAATAGATAAAGGACTTAAATGTGAGACCTGACACCATAAAAATCCTAGAAGATAACACAGGCAGTAACCTCTCTGACACTGGCAAATGATCTATCTGATAATGGGTTAATATTCCAAAATATATAAAGAACTCACAGAACTTGGGGTGCCCGGTTGGCTCAGTCAGTAGAGCATGTGACCTTTCATCTAGGGGTTCTAAGTTCAAGCCCCACACTGGGTATAGAGATTACTTAAAAATAAAATCTTTTTTTTTTTTTAAAGATTTTATTTATTTATTTGACAGAGAGAGATCACAAGCAGGCAGAGAGGCAGGCAGAGAGAGAGGAGGAAGCAGGCTCCTGCTGAGCAGAGCTCGATCCCAGGACCCTGAGATCATGACCTGAGCCGAAGGCAGCGGCTTAACCACTGAGCCACCCAGGCGCCCCTTAAAAATAAAATCTTAAAAAAAAAAAGAACTCAAGCAACTCAACACCAAAAACAAAAGAATATCCAATTAAAAAATGGGCAGAGGACCTGAACAGATATTTTTCCAAAGAAGACATCCAGATGGTTAACAGACACATGAAAAAATGTCCACATCACTCATCATGAGGAAGTGCAAATTTAAAACCACAATGAGGTATCACTGTATACCTGTCAGATGGCTAGAATAAAAACACAAGAAATAACAACTTCAGGTGAGGATGTAGAGAAAAAAGAACCCTCATGCTCTGTTGGTGGGAATGCAAACTGGTACAGCCACTATGGAAAAGAGTATGGAGGTTCATAAAAAAATTAAAAATAGAGGAGCGCCTGGGTGGCTCAGTCAGTTTAGTGTCTGACTCCTGGTCTCAGCTCAGGTGTTGATCTCAGGGTCATGAGTGCACTGAGTGGAGCCTACTTAAAGAAAAAATTAAAAATAGAATTACCAAATGATCCAGTAATTCCACCATTTTTACCCAGAGAAAACAAAAACACTAACTAGAAAACATATGTGCACCCCTGTGTTTATTGCAGCATTATTTCCAAGAGCCAAGCTATGGAAACAGCCCAAGTGTCCAATGACAGACAAATGGATAAAGATGTCGTGCATGTATGTGTGTGTGTGTGTGTATACACACACACATACATATACGTACACATACACTATGGAGTATTACTCAAACACAAAAGAGAATGAAATCTTGCCATTTGCAACATGGACAGATCTAGAGGGTATAATGCTAAGTGAAATAAGTCAGAGAGAGACAAATACCGTATGATTCTACTCATATGTACAGTTTAAGAAATTAAACAGAGTGAACAAAGAAAAAAAGAGGCAGACAAAAAACCAGACTCTTAAATACAGAGAACAGGGGCTCCTGGCTGGCTGTTAGTGGAGCTCGCAACTCTTGATCTTGGAGCTTTAAGTCTGGGCCCCACACTGGATGTTGAGATTACTTAAAAATAAAATCTTAAAAAGAAATACAGAAAACAAACTGTAATTGCCATAGAGAAGGTGGGTAGGGGAGTGGATGAAATAGATAAAGGGGATTAAGAGTGCACTCACCAGGGCGCCTGGGTGGCTGAGTCTGTTACACATCTGCCTTCAGCTCAGGTCACCATCCTGGGGTCCTGGGATCGAGTCCCGCATCTGGCTCCCTGCTCAGCACGAAGCCTGCTTCTCCCACTTCCACTCCCCCTGCCTGTGTTCCCTGTCTCGCTGTGTCTCTCTCTGTCAAATAAATAAATAAAATCTTTAAAAAAAAAAAATGAGTACACCCACTGAGATGAGTGATAAGTAAAATTGCTGAGTCATTATATGGTACACCTAAAACTAACATAATACCATATGTTAATTATACTTGAACAAAAAAAAAATCCATGGAGGAATCGTAAATGCATATTGCTAAGTGAAAGAAGCCAATCTGAAAAGTCTACATACTATATGGTTCCAACTATACGGCATTCTACTAAAGGCAAAACTGTGAAGACAGTAAAAAGATCAGTGGTTGGAGGGCAGAGAGAGATGAACAGGCAGAGCAGAAAACTTTTTAAGGCAGTCAGACTCTTGTGTATGATAGTATAATGGTGAGTACATGTTATTTATACAGCTGTTCCAAACCCACAGAATGTATCATATCAAGAACAATTCCTAACGTAAACTATGGACTTTGGGTGATTATGACGTGTTGGTGTAGGTCTCACTGGCTGTAACGGAAGCACCACTCTGGTGAAGGGTGCTGACAGTTAAGGGGGCTGTCCATGTTTGGGGCAGGGAGTATGCGGGATTTCGCTGTATTTTGTGCTCAGTTTTGCTGTGGACCTACACTGCTCAAGAAAAAAAAAGTGATTTATCTTTTCAGAATGAAACCACAGGGTAAATACAGGAAACTATAAGGAAAGATGGAAAAAACTAGAGATGGGAAGACTGAAGGAAGACCTCATGATTGCAAGGACATAGGGTAGAGCGGCAACCATTCTGTCCCCAGAGCAAGAAGCTAACACACTACAGGAAAAAGAGATTTCATTCTGTTGTAGAGAATTCTGAAAATGAGTATTATTAAAATTCTACAATAGTTAAAAAGGGAATTTCCATATCATATAATCTTTACCTCTGGAGATCACATCCAGAATAATTTAGTTATTGCCTAGAACATTATTTTTAGGGATCCTTCCAACTCAAATTCTATGATTTCAGGTTCTTAAAATCATTTCTTTTAAGAAAAAGTTTTCTGGTTTGTTATTTTTATTTTT